CAGGAACAATGGGACGGAGCGACGAAAATGGTCCAAGATAGTGTGCATTCTTCCGTCCATGACCTTCTTACTAACGGCGAGGATATCGCTAGCCGCATGAGGAGTCATTTCTCGAGTCTCTTCTCCCCTCACACACCTCCAATATCTAGTGTACCAGTTGGCTCCTCCCCTCAATTCTCTTTTTTCCTCCAGCCTATCACAGAACTTGAAACCCTCACAATCATCTCAACTATCGTCAACCAAGGCCACTGGTCCTGACAATGTCAGTGCTAAATTTATAAAAATAGATTGCTCAATCCATCGCTCTCCCCCTTACCCTTATCTTCAACAATTCATTAAGTACGGGCGTTTTCCCATCAGCTCTCAAACATGGCAAGCTCATCGCGATCCATAAAAAAGGAGAGAAGGACATAGTCTCAAACTATCGGCCAATCACAATTCTACCGGTTATATCAAAGGTCTTTGAAAAATTGGTGCGACAACGTCTCGACTCGTATCTCAACTCCATCTCCTTCATCTCACAGTCTAAGTTTGGATTTCGTAGCAATCTCAGCACTCAAGACGCATTGCTTCATTTCTTGAAGGAGGTGCATTCTATCCTAAACAGAAATCAAGCAGCCGTGGGCATTTTCTACGATATCGCCAAAGCGTTCGATAGCATCTCCCACAAATTATTGCTACAGAAGCTAGAATCGCTTGGCGTCCGCGGTATCGCAAACTCGTGGTTTCAGTCTTACCTCTCCAACCGGCAAGCAGCAGTACATCACAGGGATCATACAGGTCGCGTTCATGTCTCAGAACCGATCAACATTACAAGCGGCGTTCCACAGGGCTCGGTCCTTGGTCCGCTCCTCTTTCTAATATACAGTACGAGTTAACGACCTCCCCGCCAACGCTCCCAAGATTCACCTCACGCTCTTTGCCGACGACACCACAGCCTGACTTCCTGTTTCACGGAACTCCACGCCTACTTCCGTCTCAACATCTTGCGACATAGTCATAAATTATTGGACAACCAACAACGGTCTGCGCCTCAATGCATCCAAAACAACTCGAGTCCTTTTTTCCACACTCCGACGTACTGTTCCCCCACTCACCTTTGCCACCTCAACCATTTTTCTCGGTATTCGTTTAGACCTGTGATGAGCAACCTTTCTTGACTGCGGGCCGCAAGTGAACCTTTTAGGTTCAAGGGGGCCGCATGTATTTATTTATTTGTATTTTTTAAATACTGAATTACAGGTTGAACACCAAAATAATCCTACGTTTGACTTAGTAAACCATGTACTAAATTGTAGATGTCAACAATATGCTACATGTGAAAAATTTATCACCACTTATTGAGCAAAATACCAAGCAAGCTCAGAGAGCAATAATACACTGACCAAGAAAAGAGTGAGGGGATATTTTCTGCTGTGGTAGAAATATAGTTATGTTTTACTTCTTGCTTCCGTTTCTCCTGCAGTGGGTAACGGAATCCCCGAGCGCACGTGAGCTCTACTCCGGATGAGAGATGACAGGGCGGAAAAAAAAATTAAGCTGGCAAAGCCCCGCTGGCCGCACACCAGGGCCTCGCGGGCCACATGCGGCCCGCGGGCCGCGGGTTGCTCACCACTGGTTTAGACCCTTATTTTCGCTGGGACAACCAGGTGGACCATGTCTGTCGCCTCTTGAAATATGCTGCAGCATCTATTTACCGTCTCTCTTCTGTTATCTCTCAGGAAGACTTAAAAAAAATGTACTAAGCTCTTGCCTTTCCTCACTTGAGTTATGGAGTTCTTGCCTGGGGTCATTGCTCTGAGCGACATGTCTGTCGTATCCTGTCGCTCCAGAAACGCATCGTCAGAACCATCCTCCACAAGTCAATCCGTACCACATGTCGCCCTCTCTTCCCTAAACTCAAATTCCTTACCTTCCCCAGCTTGGTTCTCTTTCACACCAATGTCTATTTCCATGTCTCTAAAAACGAAGCCATCTCAAATGCAGGCGTTCATTCCTAGGACACCCGAAGTAAAAATGACTACCACCGTTCAATTTATTCATCCGCCCTGGCAAGTAAACTAATCTTCTCTTGGGGGCCGCATTACTTCAATTCTATCCCCAGGTCAACTCGGCAACTCAATCATACAGCCTTCCGAAGGCAGTTGAAGGAACTCCTTCTCTCATACCCGCTCTACTCATTCTCAGAATTCTTTGATATTACCTGGTAAACTCCCCTCCTACCCCACATCAGGATTACTTACCCACCGTCCTCTTACTCGAGTTTCCTCTTATGAAAAAGTGCAGTCACACCTCCCTCCCCCTCCTCTTTTTTATTTATATTAATTAATTAATTTATTATTTTTATTTCAACTCTCCTCATTTTNTTGAGTTTAGGGAAGAGAGGGCGACATGTGGTACGGATTGACTTGTGGAGGATGGTTCTGACGATGCGTTTCTGGAGCGACAGGATACGACAGACATGTCGCTCAGAGCAATGACCCCAGGCAAGAACTCCATAACTCAAGTGAGGAAAGGCAAGAGCTTAGTACATTTTTTTTAAGTCTTCCTGAGAGATAACAGAAGAGAGACGGTAAATAGATGCTGCAGCATATTTCAAGAGGCGACAGACATGGTCCACCTGGTTGTCCCAGCGAAAATAAGGGTCTAAACCAGTGGTGAGCAACCCGCGGCCCGCGGGCCGCATGTGGCCCGCGAGGCCCTGGTGTGCGGCCAGCGGGGCTTTGCCAGCTTAATTTTTTTTTCCGCCCTGTCATCTCTCATCCGGAGTAGAGCTCACGTGCGCTCGGGGATTCCGTTACCCACTGCAGGAGAAACGGAAGCAAGAAGTAAAACATAACTATATTTCTACCACAGCAGAAAATATCCCCTCACTCTTTTCTTGGTCAGTGTATTATTGCTCTCTGAGCTTGCTTGGTATTTTGCTCAATAAGTGGTGATAAATTTTTCACATGTAGCATATTGTTGACATCTACAATTTAGTACATGGTTTACTAAGTCAAACGTAGGATTATTTTGGTGTTCAACCTGTAATTCAGTATTTAAAAAATACAAATAAATAAATACATGCGGCCCCCTTGAACCTAAAAGGTTCACTTGCGGCCCGCAGTCAAGAAAGGTTGCTCATCACAGGTCTAAACGAATACCGAGAAAAATGGTTGAGGTGGCAAAGGTGAGTGGGGGAACAGTACGTCGGAGTGTGGAAAAAAGGACTCGAGTTGTTTTGGATGCATTGAGGCGCAGACCGTTGTTGGTTGTCCAATAATTTATGACTATGTCGCAAGATGTTGAGACGGAAGTAGGCGTGGAGTTCCGTGAAACAGGAAGTCAGGCTGTGGTGTCGTCGGCAAAGAGCGTGAGGTGAATCTTGGGAGCGTTGGCGGGGAGGTCGTTAACTCGTACTGTATATTAGAAAGAGGAGCGGACCAAGGACCGAGCCCTGTGGAACGCCGCTAGTAATGTTGATCGGTTCTGAGACATGAACGCGACCTGTATGATCCCTGTGATGTACTGCTGCTTGCCGGTTGGAGAGGTAAGACTGAAACCACGAGTTTGCGACACCGCGGACGCCAAGCGATTCTAGCTTCTGTAGCAATAATTTGTGGGAGATGCTATCGAATGCTTTGGCGATATCGTAGAAAATGCCTACGGCTGCTTGATTTCTGTTTAGGATAGAATGCACCTCCTTCAAGAAATGAAGCAATGCGTCTTGAGTGCTGCGATTGCTACGAAATCCAAACTGTGACTGAGAGATGAAGGAGATGGAGTTGAGATACGAGTCGAGACGTTGTTGCACCGATTTTTCAAAGACCTTTGATATAACCGGTAGAATTGTGATCGGCCGATAGTTTGAGACGATGTCCTTCTCTCCTTTTTTTATGGATCGCGATGAGCTTGCCACGTTTGAGAACTGATGGAAAAACGCCCGTACTTAATGAATTGTTGAAGATGAGGGTGAGGGGGAGAGCGATGGATCGAGCTATCTTTTTCGTAAATTTAGCACTGACATCGTCAGGACCAGTGGCCTCGGTTGACGATAGATGCGAGATGATCGTGAGGGTTTCAAGTTCTGTGATAGGCTGGAGGAAAAAAGAGAATTGAGGGGAGGAGCCAACCGGTACACTAGATATTGGAGGTGTGTGAGGGGAGAAGAGACTCGAGAAATGACTCCTCGTGCGGTTAGCGATATCCTCGCCGTTAGTAAGAAGAAGGTCATTTTCTCTAAGTCCCACAATTGTATGGGTAGCATCCCTGCCTAGAATCCCGTTTGTCAGACGCCAGAGGCCTCAATATCAGTCGCATCGTATTGCTAATTAAAAGATGTTCGCTCTCGAGTAGGCAGGATTAAACATTCATATAAATGTTAATTATGGACGACCGGAAATGACATCGGTAGTGCAGGCCTTGCTGCCACGGACTTCGTCGGCCCATCGACGTCGAGGATCGTTCCCAGGTTTTTCCTCCATCTTTTTTCCCTCGTTCGATGCGCACACCACCCGGTCGAACACCCTGGAACGACTGCACGGTATTTAAAATAACGAATCGTGCTCGTCGGCACGAAGAAGTCGGGCTATCGCGATGGAATTCGCGTCCCGACTCGTCTCGGTACGAGGCTTTGCCTCTCCACGGCAGAGCCTTCATCCGAAACGCCGATTCGTGCATCCCATTCGAAAGTCGGCACTCGGTCCGGTAGCAAAGGTCGTCTCTGAGGTCACTTCTGCCCGTCTCGACGAGTGTAAGACGCGTGCGTCTCCCACGGGTCACACGCGTCACGCCCTCTCTCTTTTAACGTTGCGACGATCGCTGCTGCGAGATGGAGACGAAGGCATTCACGACGGCCGAAGCCAAGGAAGAGAAGCGCAGAACCTCGTGAGAACCTCGTGGGACCGCGTCGCCCGGGGAGACGCCAGGCTTCACCCGCTCCGACGCGTCGGTCCCGGCCGGTTCGAGCAGACAAGAGTCGGGGGATTAAGGGTTCGGAGAGAGAGAGAGACTCGTTTCCCCGGAATCCTTTCAACGTGTGTGCTTTATTGTCGCATGCTTTCGCGAGCGATTTCCATGCCGCAGAGACCTTTCAACGTGCAAGAGTGCCTATAAAAAATATCGATTCCGACGATTAGTCTCGATATGTAGAGGTTCGCGTGGCAACGATCGACCGTGAGGAAACGAGTGGGAACGGATTCGCGAATCGAAGAATCGATTCGGAGATGGCATTTGTAAAATGCCCATCCTGGAATTCTCAAATTCGAGAGAGAAGATCTTTAAAAAATGGAGATTCGAAAGTCCGAACTGAAAGTCGACATCCGCGAGCGTCGACGCGGCAGACGACACGACGTGCGGAAAAGGAGGCGACACGAGCACCGACGAGGGAGAGGACCGAGCGGGCGGGAGGCCGCAAATTCACGAGTAGAAGGTGAGGACGGAGGTCTGATTCCCCCTGACGAGGAGGAACGGAGGCATGTCCTTGGTCAGCGTCTCCAGCCAGGCCATGTACAGCGGGGCCGACACCATCCCCTTTCGAGGCATCGGCAGGGTCCTGAGGACGACAATCACGAGTGGCAGAAAATCGTCGGACTCGGTCTTCGGGAGCCAGTGTCAACATGGCGTGACTCGTCATCGATCGAGACCTCTGACCCGCTTTCCGTGTTGACCATCTGCCTCCTCGTTACCGATTCGAGTCGGTTTATGGCTCGCGTGCAAACTCTAGAAACTCACATGATGACGAAGGAGGCGTCGAGGGAGTGTTCGAGAAGCAGTTCGCGTAGCCTCAACTGCCGATTCGTCTTGTCCTTGTTGGTCAGGTGCTCTTCGTTCGGAATGTAGAAACCTATCGGGACCGTCAGCAGATGGTAAAAATCCCAGGGACGACGAAGCAAATCACGGAGAGGATCGCGATTCCTCACCTTCTCCCCGGGATTCGTCGGCTTTCTCCTTGAAAGGCTCGATGAGAGCGTCGAAGTCCCCCCGCGTGTCGTCTCCGGCCTTCTTCTGGACGTCGGGAATGACGACGACGTCGCTGCAGTCGATCCGGAACTTGCTAAGCAGCGCCGCCATGCTGAGATCGTCATTCGCAAATTGAACTGGACGAACGAACGAAGAAATAACGACGAAAGCGAAAGAGAGACCTTCTCTGCTCGTATTCGAGTTCCCCCCTGGAGGAAGCGAGGGAGAAGACCCGGAGGGAGGCTGAAGAGAACTGCCTCCTCTGAGTCAGGATGTACGGGATGAGGATGGTGAGCCCCCCGTCGTCGTACAGCCACCACACGTCGATCCTTGCTCCCTTCTTCACCGGCTGGCGGAACCGCGTGAGGCCCTCCACGATGTCGTCCGGTAAGACGGTGCCCCCGATCCCTCGGTACAGGATGCCGGGTGAGGTGAGCCCACCCCGACGGTGTTTCTTCGTCGCCTTGCCGCGATGNCGAGACGTTGTCGCACCAATTTTTCAAAGACCTTTGATATAACCGGTAGAATTGTGATTGGCCGATAGTTTGAGACTATGTCCTTCTCTCCTTTTTTATGGATCGCGATGAGCTTGCCATGTTTGAGAGCTGATGGGAAAACGCCCGTACTTAATGAATTGTTGAAGATAAGGGTGAGGGGGAGAGCGATAGATTGAGCTACCTTTTTGATAAATTTAGCACCGACATTGTCAGGACCAGTGGCCTTGGTTGGCGATAGTTGTGAGATGATTGTGAGGGTTTCAAGTTCTGTGATAGGCTGGAGGAAAAAAGAGAATTGAGGGGCCAAATGGTACGCTAGATATTGGAGGTGTGAGGGGAGAAGAGACTCGAAAAATGACTCCTCGTGCGGTTAGCGATATCTTCACCGTTAGTAAGAAGGTCATTTTCTCTAAGTCCCACAATCGTCAGGGTAGCTTCCCTGCCTAGAATCCCGTTTGTCAGACGCCAGAGGCCTCTTGGGTTTTTGTTTCTCGAGCACTGTTCATATTCGGAAATGACGGACATTTGCTTGGCTTTCTGAATAACTCGATGGAGTATGGATTGATAGCGTTTATAGTACTTTAGAAGAGATGAGTTTGGAGGACCATAACACAAGATAAGAAACAGGGCGTTCTTACGAGCCCTCGAGATTCTTATACCAGTTGTCAACCAGGATTTTGAGGGCTTTTGAGGAGAAATTCGTTTGGTGGGTAAGAAACGAGCCTGCGAAGCATGGATTTTTCCCCATTAAGGTGTCAAATTGGTCGTCAACAGACTTGGAGGACATAAGTGAAGTCCAGTTTATACTCTCAAGAAAGTTGGACGCCTTCTTGACGGCAGATGGGATTAAGAGGCGTCTGAAACTCGTAGGGGAGTAGGATTGGGTCTTGGTCTCTATTGGGATGCGGAGGCAAAGTTGATGATCAGAGTCATCATTAGGTACAACGTATGTATCAATATAAAGGTTGCAGGGAGATATATTGGTGAACATATTGTCGAGAAGAGTCTCTGTCGATCGGGATACGCGAGTAAGTAGGAAGAAGCAGGGAAACAAGCCAAAGCATGTGAATAGATCCAGACATCTCTTTGAGTTTTTAGAGTTTTTCAGGAGATCAATGTTGAAGTCACCCATTATAATTACAGTGAAAACTCGTTAACTCGAATCCTGATAAGTCGAAATTCTGCTTATCTCGAAGTTCAAAGCTTGGTCCCGGCGGAACCCCGTAGGACACCATGTTAAATGCTCCGTTTAACTCGAATTCGCT